ACCACAACCACAACCACAACCACAACCACAACCACAACCACAACCACAACCACAACCACAACCACAACCACAACCACAACCACAACCACAACCACAACCACCACAACGACGACGACGACGACAACGACAACGACAACGACAACAACCACAACCACAACCACACCGACACCGACACCGACACCAGCTGCAGCAACAGCCAGCAAAGCTATTACTGTCACGAAACTTATCGCTACACCAACAGAACCATCTGAACATCACGCGCACAGCATCTATTATGACAGGCCTGCCTTCCCCATTCTCGCTGATTGCAAGCTGGATGTCTGCGCTGGAGGGGTCGGTGATCAATCCCTTCCTGGGCTTCGGTCCGCTCTGGCTGCCGCCCACACGGACGGCAGGCACCAAATAAAAGAATACAAGAGAGACATCTTAACTTCCAAGAGCCAAGTGGCAGGTAGGAGTTCAGGCTGGGGATGGGAGTGTTGTCGACCTGCCACATGTAAGTCTTGGCCATGGGCAGTTGATGCATCGGCTCGGGCCTCAAAGATGCCTGCCATAGCATTCGTGCGCGGGGTCGGCTTGTCCTGCGCAAGGCCGGCGAGCCACCATTCAAATCCGACGCAAAAGCTGCCCGGAAAGGACCCGCGCCGCGAGCCACCCGCTCCTGGCCGCGGATATCCACCGGGAAGATATGTCCGGAGCTTTGAGCTGATGTGCAGCTCTCTGCCACCGAGGGCCTGCGAGGAATGCGCTTCGTGCTTGGCGCATTTCTGCCTTGGTGCGGCTCTAGGGGCAAACTTTGCACGTGCTTTGCAGGCTCGGCATGTTTGTTTTCACCCCAGCCTCCTCTTAAGGTCGCTGATCGGGCCACCAGACTGCGCAGGCAAAGAGAATGGGTACATCGTAGCACGCGCTCTGCAGTGTCTCTAGCAATCGCAGGACAAGGTGTCCGACTCGTTTCAACTATGTGCGCCGTGCCTGGGCAATGGTGTTGATGCTTGCGCCTGGCCGAGGGAAAGCATACCAGGAGGGAGGTGTTTGCTGTGATGCCACACGTCCTGAAAGGGATCAAACCCAACAATCGGGTTCCCAACAACCGGCAGGCATCTTGGTGAAATGGCCAACATGTTTTTTCTTTCCGCAACTACCCTGCAGAGGCAAGAAGCTCGAGCACTCGCTGCCGGTCCTTCCTCCCTCCCTCCTCCCCACACCTGGAGCCACGCCTGGCGGCGGAGCCTTCTCGATGGGGGCCTTGTTTGGGGTGCGCAGCAGCCACCGCAGCAGTGGGCTCGTCCTGCGCCACCGACCCTCACCAGTCCCGTGATCCCATCGAATCATCCATGGTGCCAGGTTGTGAGCTGTAAATGGTCACAGTCAGAGAGATCTGGACAAAGAGCTGGCCACATTGGACTTGATATTCCCGCTGCTTTCCCACATATCCGAAAGACCGTCCACGGAGATGCGGCGAGGTGCGGCGTCCTGATGGAAGCCGCCTCTTCGGCCAAGACCTTCATGTGGTTGAAGCTGCTCTGACTCCAAGGGTTCTGGAAGGGCTGCGAGGCCTTGGCCGGAGCGAACAGCCCCGGCTGAAGCCCCGGGGAAACGAAGATTCACGGCCACAGCTCCTCCCTCGGTTCGAATCCTGTGCCTACGACCGGCCCTGCCCGGCGTTTCCAGTGGGCTGGGGCTCCTGCCAGCTGCTGGCGCAACGCTTCGAAGCCCTCTCCCATCTCACAGGCATCCTGGCGGCGCAAGCTGCCGGCCCCATACGCACTTTCACGGGTCCCTGTGAGGGAGGAGAGCTGCGTCAATCCTCATCCCTTTGGAAGCTTCGGGCCCCGGCCTGATACAAGTCACGAATCTCGCTGAGGCGCTGCCTGAGCCGGACATTGGCTCACACGCATGCCTGCGCCTTCACACCTCCAGGGCCACGCGTCTGGCGCCCGAAACCTTCGGAATCCTGGGGTGGTGGCAGGAAATCCTCCAGCGAGAAGATGGACAACAGGTGGCCGTGCCCTTGAATGGTCATATGCCTTGGGTGCTCAGGAAGTCACACGCGCAACGGAAGCAAGATGCAGTTGGGCATGCGTGCGTGTATGTGGGGTCAGTGGCACGTTTCAGGTGTCCACAGCCCCGCACTCCGAACGGGAGTCAAGCAAACTGCAAACCGCTGAGCCTTGCGCTCATCCAAACCCATGGCATGGGCCAACGGGTGTTTGGCGCATCCCAGCATCCAACGCCTGAGAGTGTGCTCTTCGGAAGGGCACTTAGATGGTGCCCGCCTCTTTCTGTCACCCCCCACCCACCAAAAAGGAAAGAAGACACACTTTGCCTCCTGGCAGGGTCAATACGGAAGCTGAGCCCCCGACTTGTCCGCCAGATCCTGGGAAGAGGTCGGTGCCGTGGGGCTGCGCAAGCACTGCTGGACCTGGGACAAATGGATGCTGTTCGCCCCACAAGTGGAAGAGATGCACCCTACAGGCGGCCGGTTTTTCTGAAATGCTGCCTGAACATGCTTGGCTTGCTTGTGATTTCCCTTTGGGGGTCACCAATCTCCAAACACCCCCCACGGCCCCCACCCGCGAAATGTTGAGGGGGAACTGCGGGCTTGGCCGGGCTTCACCGCCGAAATCGCGGCTGTGGTAGGTTTCGCAGAGCGGGATGTTGGGCAGATCAATCAACCAAGCGCACTCCAACTGGGCAAGCTCCCATCTTGAGCCAATTTCTGCCAAGGGGCACACGGGACACACGGGCTCCTCCATACATCTGTTCCCTTGTGTTAACGAAGGGGAAATGCAATGGCCCTTTGTTGGGGTATGCCCCTTTGTCAATCATTACCAGGGGTGGGATGTGGTGGGGGGATGTAGAGGGTGTGTCCAAGCTCGGGCCGGCGCCGTGTTCACCGTCTGCTGGAAGCGGGATAGAGGGGAAGGCTTCCTGAGGTCCAGACTCCGCTGGAATCAGTTTGATCTAAGGCTTAAACTCCCCTTGTCTCCGTGCACTTCCTCCAGCTCAGTCTTTCCAGAGCTCAGCAGCTCAAGCCAAGATCTCAAAAACAGAGCCCCCCGTTGCACCAGGAAACCAAGATAAACCAAGTGCTTGTTGAGGGCTCCAACTTCGAGACATCAGCATTGGCAAACCGCATTCGCAATACTGGTCTGCGTGAGGGCTTGGGTGTGCCATCTTGGGCGCTATCTGAGGGCCACGCTCCAAGCAGCAAATCACAATCTCGGGCGCGTCCTGGGCCGAGCTTCCAGGCTTCAAGGTCAACAAGCGGTGCCAGCTTTTGCGTCAGGGCACATTTTGGAAGTCCAGCACGTCAGTGAGTGTATGGATTTCCTTAGCACAATGCAGGCTGGCATTCAATATCTGCCAGGGCTGTTACAGATGTCTTGCCAAATGCAGCTGGGTCTCCAAATGCAGATCTGCATTTCCAAACACCTGTCGCGCACGCTGATGCCAACGCCCCAAAAGAAGCTCTACGCTTCGAAAACTTGCTGCCACACTCCCACCCCATGCCGCCCCTTGCGCGCCTCCCTGGTGATGACATTTGCTTCCTCCACAAGTGGGTGAATGTGATGCCTGACCGCTTCTGCATGGGTACGGGATGGCGCGGGAACGTCGGAATGCCAGTGTCGGCCCCAGGCTTCACAACAACCTGGGCTCCGCGCAGTGCGCTGAGGAAGTTCTTCACCGTGGAGTCGTTGGTGCGGGTGCTGAGGTTGTTGATGAAGGAGAAGGCGCTGACCTCTGGAAAGCTCTGGCTTTTTCTCGGGCCCCAAGTTCCACCCCCCTCTTCACCGCCTTCGCCTTTGCGGCTGTTTGCGCTTCAATCCCTCCCTTGGCGTTGTTTGGTCTTCACGTTTGCTTCCAGCGGCACCGGCTCGAGTCAGGGCATAAGCCACCTCCCTCTGTGCGGCCTTGACTGGGTACCGGGCCCTGTCGCCGCTATCCTGCGGGAGAAGATTCAGACGGCGAACCAGGAACGGTCCAGGCTCCAAATGGGTGCGATGGGTGTGGGCCTAAACACCGCTATTGAACGTACCCCCGGGACGGCATCCTGCTCAATAGGTATTGAACGGCAGCCGCAATGGCTGAAATTATCAGAACGCAAGCGCCAAGTTAGCACCACGAGTAGTAGCAGCAGGAGCAGCAGCGGCAGCCGCGGCGGCAGCGGCAGCAGCAGCAGCAGGAGTAATTAGTAGTAGTAGTAGTAGTAGTAGTAGTAGTAGTAGTAGTAGTAGTAGTAGTAGTAGTAGTAGTGGTGGTAGTAGTAGTAGTAGTAGTAGTAGTGGTAGTAGTAGTAGAAGAAGATCAAGAAGAAGTAGACGTAGAAGCATCAGTGGCAGCAAGAGTAAAAGTAGTCGTGGGAGAAGTAAACATGCTAGCAAAGGCAGCAGTAGCAGTAGAACGAGCACCCATAGGTGCACCCTGCCGCCCAGCTGCACGCTAAACCTCTGCAATCCGGTGTGGATCGCTCACGCGTTCTTCTCAACATCGCCTTCGGTATCCGTACAATGGAAGTTCTCACATCGCTCGAGCCGATGTCGGCGGCGTACAAACTCTGCGCGCCGCAGCGTGCGTGAGGCAGCTCTGTGCAGCGGCAATCTGTGGGACTGTGTGCGTGTGTCAGTTGACTACTCTAGACCGATCATATGGCTTTAGAACCCTCCTGGCTACTTCAAAAAATAGACCCTAAAATGTTTAGTTTGATGATAAAGGGGTATTCAATTCAACGACAGGTATTGCACGTACGTATTGGACGGGGTATTCAACGAAAGGTTTACCCCTCAGAGGCCAATACACCAGGGTTTTGACTCTCAGCCACATGCTGCGAGGCCGCAAAGCCCTGGAGATTGCGGCAGTCCTCCAGGGCATGGCCTTCGACAGTCACCGCCTCTTCGAAGGCCGTTGCCACGTCCAGCTTCGGGATCTGGGAAGGGCGCGGCATGTCAGCAAGGAACTCATTGCAGCGTTGTCTGTCGCGCCCTTTGTCTGAACCAAAGCCGAGTGCTGCACGGAGCTGCGCGCCACTTGCAGGAACTGAGTGGCCAACGCGGTTGTAGCAATTGACAGGCTGGATCTGCGCTCGGATCGGGCCCATCCCGATGATGAAGATTTTGCGACATTACGGGCTTTGAAGCATTTTCCCCTGGGTACGGTTTCAGCATCCCATCTGAGAGCGGGACGTCCGATGAGCCAGCCGCCTTGATCCTGTCCGGATTCGGCTCCTGTAAGGCACGGCTGAGGGGCTGGCGCCGGTCCCTCCCAATCACAACATGAACAGTTCTCCCCTCAGCAGCAGGCACACAGGCGGAAGGCATGAGAGTAGCCCAGAATGAGGCCTCAAGCATAGTGCACACATACGCTGTATGGCACGCACACGTACCGACTGCTTTAAGTTCATTCGCAACAAAGTCCGTCCACTCAAAGCGTGGCAAACTGCACCCCCTGAGGAAGCTGCAGTCTGAGTGCTTCATAGGTTCGGCTTCCCCGGGCCTGGAGCCGCATTGCACGTCCCGGGGCGCAATGGGCAGAGGCACTCTTCGAAAATGTTGTGCGCACGCTTGTCTGAGCATCCTTGAGGCTTCCCTTTTTGAGGGGGGCGGGCGCCGTGCTTGCGTGGGGAAGCATATCTGAGCCAGCCCTGCATACTAACAGTTTGCTGACCTCACTCTGCCCCAACGGAATGCCCACACAGCACCGATGCCGGCAGCGGGACACATGCTCGCGCCTCAACATCTTCCCGTTCAGAAGCACTCGCACCGTGCTGCCATCATCAGAGGGCAGTGCCTGGCCAGCAGCGAATACTGGGATCCAGTTGGGGTCTCCACCCTTGGTTGGACCTTCGAGCCAAAACCCCTGCACACTTGGGGGGCGACTGGCCACACAGGTCCTGACGCCCTCCTGGCAATTGGCAAGTGGCCTCCACCTGGACCTCGCCCGCCACACAGTGCACCGCGCACATGTCTGGCCTCGAATTGGCTTGAATCGGATTCAGTATCTGCGCAGCTCCCCTCAAAGCTTCTGGACTGCAATTTTCACTTGGACCTTCCCCTGTGAGAACGGGATTCATCATTTTCCCTCCGCTGCAGCCACAGCCGGGGCCGCCGCATGATCCCGACGCCCATCAGCACGATGTCGCAGGCGCCCTCGTCGCTGCCGATGTGGATCTTGGCCTGATCCAGCGGGAAGTTGCAGCCTGGGCGCGGCGGGGTCGTTTTTGGTCGGTCCAGGCCAGTGCCGGGACTGAGGCAGAAGGTCAATGCAGGCGGGAAGAGTCCATCCAAAAGAGGGTCAGCAACAAGCGCTGAAACACAGAGTCTGCCGTTGCCGCACTACAAACTACTTGGCCTGGGGAAACCTGAGGGCATCACAGCCTTGCAAGGCCGGATCGTCACAGAGCTTCCTCGGCTCGCCAAATTCCAGCTCACGACTGGAGATTTGGCTCCGGGAATGCATGTCCCCCTGGCCATCCGGAATAGAATCATACATATATATGCATGCACTGGTTTGTATTTGCTGCGTGCACCCAAGGCGACACACAGGCGCACATGCATATGGATGTACACATGTACATACATACATACATACATACAATACACGCACACACCTATCTCCCGCCGTATCTACATACATACACACACACACACTAAAGTCACTAAATTGTATTGATTGCAATAGATGACGTCACTTACATTTACATGTATTTTTACATTTGATTTGCATACGTTGCGCTACATTACATTCATCATATTTCATAAAAGTACATTGCATACATAAAAGCATAAGACACATAAATGCATAATGCATAACATACATAACATAACATATCATAGCATAACATAGCATAACGTAACATAACATAACACACACATAACATGCATAGCATAACATAACAAGGCATAACATATCATAACGTAACATAACACACACAACACGCAATATCATAACATAACATAAAATAACACAACATATATATATGTATGCGTTACACTACATTGCCTTGCATTGTTTTACGTTACATACATACATACATACATACCATAATGGCATACATACACTCATTACATACATGCACAAATTACATACAGTACACCACACTACACTACATTACACTACATTACATGACATACACAAATACATTACGTGCATGAAACATACATACACGAATTTACATACATACATGCGTACATACATACATGCATACATTACATTACAGTGCATTACTTACAATACATAGACACATACCTACCTGCCTACATACATACACACATAGTACAACCATGTTGGTGCAGCACATGACATTACAGAACATACTTACGTTACATTTATTACATAGATACATGATATACCCATACCTACATACATACATGCATACATATATGCTGCCACAGCCTTACATACATACAAACATACATGCTAATGCATACATGCTGATGCCTACATACATGCATGCATGCATACATGCATACATACATACATTAACATATTACAAACATAGCATAAGATGCATGACATACCATAACACAGCATGACATATCCTAACCTAACACAACATACCATACACACACAGAAATCCATACATATACACATTACACTACATTACACTACATTACACTACATTACACTACGTTACACTACATTACACTACATTACACTACATTACACTACATTACACTACATTACACTACATTACACTACATTACACTACATTACACTACATTACACTACATTACACTACATTACACTACATTACACTACATTACACTACATTACACTACATTACATGACATTCATGTGTTGCATACATTACATTGACACATACATGCATTTCTACCTACATACATACGTGGATACATACATATATGATACATATACACACATAACATACTTAAAATAATAGCGTGGCATAGCATAACATCCCATCATATATACACACATATACACACATACACACACATACACACACATACACTACACACACATACACACACATACACACACACACATACTCACACACACATACACCCAAATCCACACATACACACACACATACACGCAAACACGCAAACACACATACACACTACGATATATTACTTACATTACATTGCATCGCATTGCATTACATTACATTCATTACATGACATTGCATTGCGTTACATACATACATGCATAAATATACATAAACCTATATAACCCACGTAAACCAATGTAACGTAACCTACATAACGAAGCATTGCATAACATAGCATGCCATAACATAACATAACATGACATACACAAACACACTCATACGCACGCACATAAATACATACATACATACATACATACAGACATTACATTACATCACTGCATTACAATAAATTACATTACATTACATTACATTCCCATACATTACATTACGAACATACATACATACATACATACAGTACATTGCATTACATTACATTACACTACATTACATTACATTAAATTACATACATACATTCGTGCATACATACATTACATGCATACATGAATGCATGCATACATACATACCTACATACCTACATACCTACATACCTACATACCTACATACCTACATACCTATATACCTACATACCTATATACCTACATACCTACATACCTACATACCTACATACCACATACCTACATACATATCTACATACCTACATACATACCTACATACCTACGCACATACCTACATACCTACATACCTACATACCTACATACCTACATACCTACATACCTACATACCTACATACCTACATACCTACATACCTACATACCTATATTACATACATACATTACATACATTACATACATACATACATTACATTACATTACATTGCATGACATTACATTACATTACATTACATCACATTACATACATACATACATATCATACATTCATACATACATACATACATAGATACATACATACATACATTACATACATTAATCATACATACATACATTACATACATACATCCATGCATACATAATACATTACATACATTACATACATTACATACTTACATACATTACATACATACTACATACATACATACACATCCACTACATACATACATACATACATTACATACATACATACATACATTACATTACATTACATTACATTACATTACATACATACATACATACATACATACATACATTACATACATACATACATAAATACATACATACATACAGACATACATACATACATTACATACATACATACATACATACATCACATTACATACATACATTACATACGTACATACATACATACATTACATACATTTTTACATACCTACATACATACATACATACATACATACATACATACATACCATACATTACATACATACATACATACATACATACGTACTGTGAGAGGCGTCAATCCTAACCAAGGACTAACCCAGAATCCACGTCTCACCCGTGTCCCGACTCTCTGGCACACCCGCGAAGCGGCTCGTTGTTTTCACAGGCAGCGCACTCATTCACCGTGCGCATGTGGCTTGAGCCAAAATAGGCACGCCACTCCAACTTCCTCAAGGTGGACATGTCAACTTGCAAGACATGTCCACTCATGCAACCTCAAGCAAAAATAGCTCACTTACCAAAGCCTAATGCCTATGGCTGCAATGACAAAATCATGCATGAGAATGCCAAGATCTGCAGTCGCCCCCAGTTAGCCTCCAGCCGCGGCGGGGAATGCAACTCCAGAGCATTCTCATCCTTAATTGTGGGAACAGCCCCATCCTTCAAATTGCGGGGGCTCCCTATCCTATTCCACTGGGCAGTGGCCAATTCCTTATACCCTTCATCCGGCCCTGGACCTGGGCTCAGTACTGCTTCGGCTCGGCTCATCCGATCTTTCCAGCCTGGAAAGTTGCAGTCGCAGCTTCTCATTCTCAGTCTCCAGCGCCTTGTCTAGCAAGTGAACCAGCTTGCCGCTCCCATCGACGGCTAGCTTAATCCAGCTCACAAACTTCTCATTCTGCTTCTGGCTGAAGAAGACCTGATTCTGCATGGTGCCCAGCAAGGCCAAATAGTTACTGAAGAAGGCAGAATCCGAGTTGTCATACTTCTCCGCGTTGTATGCAGTGTGAATCTTATCCACGGTCTGGAAGACCTTGAGCGCCAAAGCGCCATCCACAGCGCCTCGCCCGGAAAGATTGAACACAGCCGCGTTAAGCCTGGAAAGGTGGTCAGATCGCAACGATCCCGGGGGTTTCGATTCCTTACGAATGTCGTTGAGCACCTGTTGCAAATACAACACGGCTCCCTCCGAAGTTGCCAACGGACTCGAGAAATCGTCCCTGACCAAACCTGAACTCTGCCCGCGAGCGTCATCCCGCTCCGCACTGGCCACTCTCGGTTGCTTATTCCTACTCCCGGTACCCAGCTCCTTAGCCTTACTCACTAGGCCTTGAAGGCAACCGACTTCGACATATTCACTCCTAGATGGAGCCGAACGCGACCTTAGCGAAAATCCCGGACTGGTCACTTCATCAAGAATGGGGACCGCCTGGAGGGTTTCTCCGGCGCCCCCAGCCCGATCCTCGCCTATCGTCGACGCCACACCGCCGGTCAGCGGCTGGTCGGCCCATCGCTGCCTGGCCACGATAATGTGCTGGCATTCCGTACCCAGGTCAATGAACGCTTTGCAGGTACACTTCATAACATTCCGTCCCAAGACCAACTCCTCTGTCACAAAGACATGACCCGTCCTTGTCATGAATTTCTTGGTCCTCTGGCCTTCCCCAAGCATATTGCCGTGAAGTCGGTGCATGGCTTTGTTCCTACACTTGCGGGATACTGTCCAACCACACCACGTCATGAAAACAACAAACATGCTCATCAAGGTAGCCCGCAGGAACAGCCCCATAGTCTCCACAAGAGCAACTCCCTGCGAACCCATTTTGTCGACTAAGAGGACCGTGTTGACCGAAACACTCCCCATGACATCTTCCACAACATTGTCAATCTGGACCACACCTTTGTAACCAAGAGGGATGAGGGCAAGCATGGTTCCCCAATAAACGAGGTTCAATTGGTTGCCATGCTCAGCATGGGCCTTCTTGTTCCGGCCTTTCCGGCTCGAGAAACCAGGCCTCCGCACTTTCTTTCTGCTGCGCTTCTTGCGGTCGCCTTTGCCAGGATGCCGTCGCCCGCCCCTCTTTTTGGGCTTGCGACTGAACTGGCGAAATGCATCCTCATCCTCTGTCACGACATCATCCGAGCTGTCCTGCTCGCATGTGCCCTCTCGAGCACGGCTGCACTTATAGCACGTCAGCCGTGCTTTGACGTTCCTTCCGCCACATTGGCGGCAGTCCCAACCGCGGCCTGCAGCAAGCTCTTCCAAAGCTTCGGCCCGCGCGGACTCTCGAT